CAGGGACCAACAATTTCACACCTTGCCAACTGCAATTCATACAGGACAGGAGGCAAAAGTGCCTATAAGACCCTCTTCACCTTCCTCCCCACTTCCTGTAACGCATTTCTATTTAGTTCATCATCCAAGCCACAGAACACTCTTTCTAATGGGAATGATGACATTACATGTACACAGCAAACACAGAGGTGTCACTGCAACCACACAACCTTGAAAGAGGGACCAGGCTCTGCACAGCAGTGCATCTTCATCTGCCTGTTATCTGCTTAGTTTACAGAAAGTGCTAAAGATTGGGGGAAAACTTAGCATTTGAAAATATTCTACCTACTCAACTGCTTTCTGAATATTTAGGAAAGGTCACGCCAGTCCAAGTTACAAATCAGCCCTGTTAGCATAATCTGAAGCCGATAAGGTATCCCCCCCTACACACACACACCAGGCCTAGGGGCAGGTTGATCTTTATACCACATAGAGCAGGTCCGTGCCTCTGGCAAAGGAGTAGACAGGCACAGATGGGTCTATGTGTGGTCCTTTGTGGCCTTCTGGAAACCCGTGGTTTGCCACCCCAGTTGGCGGCTGACCTGGAAGCTCTCGGGGGTCTGCTGCTCTGTTGGATGCAGCAGGACAGGAGCAGTGTAGTGAAGGGAACAAATGGGCCTCAGTGACTGCTCCTAGGCTCAAGAACAAAGGGAGAAGGCAGCCCCAGGACCAGGGACAGAGGTGCCAAGAGAAGGAAAGAGGAGTTCAGTTTGGGATGCACTGAGAACATGTGAGCCAAATGCATAGGGAAGCACTAAAAAGGAGGGTGTGGTCAGCCAAGAGAGGAGCCAGGCCCAGGTTCAGGATGGAGGTGAGGGCAAGGGTACAAGAGCACCTTGGGAGAAGAGGGTCACTTCCTCCAATCAAAGTGCCAGACTCCTGAAGAAGGGAGTCAGCTAGTATACAGGAAGACAGGGGTGCCAGGCCCCATGTTGCCCGACAGCTGCAGGCTCTCAGCCTGTCAGCCTTGGCTCCTCATTTGTAAAATGGGATGATGGTAGTACCCCCATCACAGGATGCAGTGAAGACTAGATAAGGAACGGTGCCAAGGGGCTCAGCCCCAGGCCTAGCACGTATCACACTCAGGCCAACACCCACCTCAGAACCTGGCATCTGAGAGAGAGAAGGCAAACCCCAATAAATTACCAGAAAACGGGCAAAAGCCAGACATGAGCACCCAACCAAGTAAAGAGGGAGAGAGGGAGTAGGACGGGATGTGTGGTGACAATCAGAATGGGGATGCTGCACACAGGCTGCTCCTTCATTTAGAACACACATCTAGTTAGTGCCTCTTGTGTGCAGGTCTCATGCTAGTGTTGAGGACAAAGTAACAGATGAGATACCAGGGGTGTGCAAGCCAGAAGCACACCCTGACTCAGGAAACCGGTAGAAACTTGCGGCCAGGTAGAAGCGACATTTGGAACTGTCCAATGAAAAGCCATGGAGCTGGGGGACATGAGGAACTCAAGCCTGGAAGCTAGGTTGCTTACATCGGCCATAGCTCACACCCTGGCTCTGGGAGAATGTAAGCATACAGCATCTCCCCGCCACAGGCACAGCACTAACACAGAAATAACGAGCAGGCCCAAATATTAGTGGCAGACCTCAGCACTTGCCCGACTCTGTCCGTACCTGTCACACTTGTCTCACTCCTCCTGTTCATTGGACTTCCTTCCTCCTTCTCTGTGTGCCCTGGCCTCAAAGGACGCGAGCATCCTGTACACTCAGCAGCTCCCATCAACAGATCCCCAGACAAGCAGACTGGGAGAGATGAAATTATGCCTACTTTAGAGTCTTCCAAGACATGGGTATGGGAAGATTTGTGAGTCAAGGTGCAGAGGGCACAACTGTTTTAATCAGGACCTTCACCAACCTCAGTAAAACAGGATGGGCTGTGCACCAGGGTGCACCCAGCACACTGCCTCGGGGACCCACAACCCTGGAGCAGTCAGATCTGGCAGTGCACTTGGGAGTAGAAGCTGCTCATAGAACGTTCTACCTTCTTCCTGCCAGCTTCCACAACCAAGACTCCTTGCCACTTATGCTCTGGAGTCTATTTCCCCAGAAGGTGGCCTGGTGGAACCTCTATGCAAAGTGTTCTGCTCTGTCCAAGGAGAGCAAAGACTCTCCTCTAAAATCACTGCTGTATATTAAGAAAAAAGCAAGGCCCCTGCTTTTCCAATTCTATGGAAACCTATAAACACAGGGCATATTAGCATCACCAGACTCCCAAGAGCCACTGTGGGCTCCTGCATGGGTCAGCACATTGGCACATATGGCTCATTACTAGTTCAGGTGCCAGAGCTAGAAAAAGCCGTTTTGATGACTCACCTGTTTATGAAGCTGGGGAGAGCAACATGCACTCACATACATGTCTGAGGAACAAGCTAGACAAGACTTCAATGTGGGTAAGTCATCTAGGTGGCCCAAGGAAAGGGGTTTGGTTACACACCTGTCACTGGTGGGGACCTCCCTGCCATGGATCATCTGCTCCTAGGCAGAAGAACTATGAAAGTTGAGGCCAAAAACAAGAAGCCTAAAAACATGCTGAGGGCTTTTAACAACAAAGGCTAAAATACAGGTATATCCTTTGTAAGAAGATCGGAAAAAACAAACAAACTCCTGAATATTAATAACTTTTTCAAAGAAAAAATTTCCATGATGCTAAATCCTGAGAACCAGTTGCTCCAGAGTTTCCAAAACCCCCAACAACCCCCCTTAGGAAGCCTTTGGGGGAGCAGAAAGACGTACGCTCAGGTCCACCAACTTCACCCTGATAAAAGAACAATGGGCCCTGGGGTCAGTGAGCTGATGCCCTGACAGCAAAGACCCACTCCTCACGTTGCACATGTCTTCACCTCAAGGACCCCTAGAAACGGGCCAGCCACTCTGCCTTCTCCGCTTAATGCCATGGGGGACCACAGTAACCTGTGAGTGTGCCCTGGCCCTAAGAGCACGTGGAATCTTTCTAAGAGCAGGCTTTCTTCTCTATTTCTGGCAGATGGCCCTCTACTGGACCAAATGTCTCTGCTATATCAGGCAGGTCTCCACATTTTATTCAGTCAGCATGTCATAGGAAGTGTGGTAATGCACTGCAATTTGACAGAGGGGACAGATGGCAGTTCCTATCTCTCCAGCTAGTGGCTGTGTTCCCTGAATGCTCACTGCACCAGGCTGGAGTACCTGACGAGGCTAAGCTGACCTTCAGAAGTGCTAATCAATGGCCCAAGAAAATACTGCTGCCCCTAACGAAGCCCAAACCCTCTCACACTTTTCTCATACACCATCAGCAGCCCAGGAGCAGGGCTCCAGGAAACAATACTACCACTGGAAAAGCAACTCAACCACCCACTGTCTGAGTCAGGAGGGCCCTCTGACAGTAGTTGCCAAGTGTCCATTAAAGTGACAGAGACTGGTGAAGGGGCCTGCTAAAGCCTCAACAAAGACTCTCCCTCTCACAGCCCTGGTGGGCCTCACACGGTTCCTCACTCACCTCAAAACAAACCCAGAGTTCCTCCTTTCTTGCCCTTCCAGATGTCTCCTCTAAGAGAAGGCTGAGAGCACGTGCTTCAGGTGGCACAGTGTGAATATGGCACAGCTGCCCACTGCTGAAGCTGTTACAGCAGGAAGGGCATCCAGCAAGTCCAGGTAATCCAATCTTGACAACTCCTAAATTGAAAGGGTCGGAAAAGCTGTGTCCACACTCTCAGCTGCCCACAGGCAAGCAATTTAGCAAAGAGCAAATGATCAGAGCAGTCAGACAGGACTGACAAGAGCCCAAGAAACAAAGCAACACAGGGTGTGGAGAGCAAGAACTTGAAGTAAAATTAGACAAGACAGAACTTCCAGAAGCACAAAAGGTCCTTGGAGGAACTGGATGATGACACACTATAAGCAGAGTCCTTGGTTCCCCTAAGGAAACACCATGTGTGGACTGAGACAAAGCCCCCATCGCAGAGAAGGATTGGCCACACTGCTTCTTGGCCCAGATAACTTTGTTTTTTACATTAAACATGTAAATTAACCTCAGACAAGAGGTAGTGATGTATGTTTTAGCCATGCAGCCAGAAAATTTTGAAAGAAAACTTAATAATAGCATGAATGGGGAGGTTTTTCCAGCAGGTGTTGATTCCCTGAGCACTGAGTAAACACTTCACGGGAAAAGCCTGCCTTTAAGTGGCACCCCCCAACCCCTGCCACATCTGTGCACACATGCCACAGGATTGTGAGAAAACCCTGGCCATACCTGGCATACCTTGTCACAGGTTCTCCACCTGGACCCCACAGAACCCTGGCCACCGTGAGACCTCCACCAATGGATGCTCCCCCATTCAGGTAGGTCCTTCCTCCAGCTCCTGAACGACATTTTCTTCACACACCTCCCAGGTCACTTGTCACCCAGCAGCCACCAAGCGGTTCGGGATGAAAGCCCTCCTCCAGAAGGCTCACAGCAAAATCTCAGCCTCCCACTAACCTGTCAGCCTCTAAAAAGGCCTCAAGCTGATACTTAAAGTGCCAAGCTGATTGTAAGCTCAGGATCCAGCTGCTTTCTCCCTGCCTCGGGCCTCCATTAGAGTTGAAAATGGTGAGAAAGCAAACAGATTGCAAATTGCCACAGGCCTGCTCCCTGCCAGACAGTGTTAGGCTTTAACCACAGTGAAGAGATGAAGAAAGGCAAGGCGCTGATCCTTGGCTCCTAATTGCAGTCTAACCGGGTAGGGCAAATGGCTGGCTGGAGCAGTTCTCATTACAGACCCGACGTGACAGGAGGTGGCAGATCAGGTCCTCCGGGGGAGGCGCTTCCCAGGCCAGCTAACTGTGGGGGCTGCGTGGTGCTCACGCCGCCTCCAAGCAGCACTGGGCCCAGCAGGGCAAGCCCTGCCGCTGAGTGCCCTGGGCCCTTCCCGGCAGGGGGCGGGGAGCGGCTCCCTGAGGGCAGGCCAGCGGCGGGGTCTCCTTACCGTTGCTGTAGGCGTACGGGGATTCGGCCGCGCCGTCCTGCAGGCTCTCCAGGATCTCGCCCTTGCCCACATCGCTGTCGCCCACCAGTAGGAACTTGAGCAGGTAGTCGTAGCTTTTGACCGGGCTGCCCTGCGTGCCCATCCTCGCTCACGCGCGCGCAGGCCGCGCCCGCATGCCCACGGCGCCTGCCGTGGGAGCACGGCGGGGAAGAGGCCTTCGACAGATCTGCGGGAACCGGGTGTGGGTGAGCCGGGGCCGGCGAGGCCCGGTCCGTGAGGGCCAGGCCGCCCCCGACTGCCTCACCGACCGCCCGGGACGAAGAGCCCAGGAG